GTCCGGGCCCTCACATCTGTTGATGGAGGTTGCAGGGGTTGTGCCTGTTGTTGTGTCAGGTGCGGCTGTGGTACAGTCGTGCGCTACAGACGCCGGAGTGGCCGTCGTTGTGGCAGTGAAGGAGGAGGTGGAGGAGGAAGGGCGGGAGTGAGGGGTAGTAAGGTCGGTGGCGTCGATGTCGGCTGGGGAGTGGTTAGTGGGTGCACAAGGTGATGGATTGGGAGTGGGGCTCGGCGGGGTGGGTGTGTCAAGGCTGCGGTCAATTCCGCTCCCGTGGATGCGCATGTGGCCGAATAGGCCCATGCGATGCCGGAAGGTGCGAGGGCATTGTGGGCAGTGGAGGCGAGTGCGGTGGGTGTAGATTGGTGCTCCAGGCACTGGTTCACCAGTATCTGTGCGATGGATTCGCAAGTGACCGACCAGGCCGATGCGTGAGGTGAAGTTGCGGTCGCAGTGAGGGCAGGTGGGGGTGGTTGCGGTTGCTGTGTCGTGGTTGGCGATGTGAGAGAAGGCAGCCTGAACGGCCACCGTTGGGGCAGTGGAGGAGAAGGAGGAGGATGGAAGTGGTGGTGCAGAAGGAGTGTCAGAGTTAGTTGGCGGAAGAGAGGACGAGGAAGAGGCGGGCGCGGGGACGATGGCTGGAGCAGTTCCAGAGGTGCAGTTGGTTCGAAGATGTCCAACAAGTCCGATTCGTGCCCGGAATGTCCGTTGACATCGAGGACACGTAGTGAGAGGTTGTGCGGCGGCGTTGCGTATTGGGCGAATTTGTGATTTGCGGACTTCGCGTTTCACTTTGGCGGCGGCGATGCGGTTGGCTTCGTAGATAGCAGCGCCCGTCTTCACTGTTCTCCTCCATGTCGGACGATCGCGAGCGAGCTCTTCCCAGTTGGTCGGGTTGATGTGCAGGCGCTTCAGGGAGGACTTCAGAGTATCTTTGTAACGGCGAATTTGGCCTCCTTGACGACGAGAACCCGTCGCGACGTCTCCGTAGAAGAGTCGTTTGGGTAGTCGCTCGTCGTCCATGCGCACCAGATGGCCGCTCCAGCGCAGCTGCATTTGCCTCAACATGGAGTAGATGCTCAGAATTCCCGTCCGTTCCAGCACTTCGGTGTCGGGGATGCGGTGCTGCCAGTTCAGCCTCAGGATGCGGCAGAGACAACTGAGGTGGAAGTGGTTTAGTCGACGTGCCTGCCTCGTGTACACCGTCCAGGTCTCCGCTCCGTACAGTAGCGTCGGCAGGATGACGGCCTTGTACATCTTCAGCTTTGTGCTCAGTTGGAGACCATGACGTTGGAGACCATGCGTTCGCTTACCCATGTACTAACATTCAGGCCACGCACTTCAGACGCCTGTGGGTTGGGGGGGGTGGGGTGGGGGAGTGTGCCAACGGCGCAGTGTCAGCGTGTCCTGCCCCGCCTGCAGGGCTTAGCGGTGAACCCGGTCTTATGGTCTACCCCTTAAATTTTGTCCCATTGGACTGAGCACTTTACCTTGGACGTGAGTTATCTCTGCGTAGTGTTTCTCATACATTACCGCAGTCCGTGATCGATTTTAACTTCGAGTTTTCCGTCTGANCTGGAATGGCCATTTCTGGCTTATTAGCCGTCGTCAGCCAGCCATACCCAAGCCCGAAGTGTGCAACACCCGAGCCTCGAACTCGCGACCTGTTGGTTTAGAAGTCAACGCCTCTACTCACCGGGCCACGAGCCCGTTGCCTTGTCGGTTTTCGATCGGGAATATACAATGTTAGGGGGCGCTCACCGATCGTTCATACGGAACTCACTCGTTCCGTTGTGCCTTATGGACTCTCTCTCGAGCCCAACCAGCAGCCGCACAGCGGCGCATGATATATAGGCAGAATGGTATTACCGACAAAGACAAGGGAGACTGGAATGGCCATTTCTGGCTTATTAGCCGTCGTCAGCCAGCCATACCCAAGCCCGAAGTGTGCAACACCCGAGCCTCGAACTCGCGACCTGTTGGTTTAGAAGTCAACGCCTCTACTCACCGGGCCACGAGCCCGTTGCCTTGTCGGTTTTCGATCGGGAATATACAATGTTAGGGGGCGCTCACCGATCGTTCATACGGAACTCACTCGTTCCGTTGTGCCTTATGGACTCTCTCTCGAGCCCAACCAGCAGCCGCACAGCGGCGCATGATATATAGGCAGAATGGTATTACCGACAAAGACAAGGGAGACTGGAATGGCCATTTCTGGCTTATTAGCCGTCGTCAGCCAGCCATACCCAAGCCCGAAGTGTGCAACACCCGAGCCTCGAACTCGCGACCTGTTGGTTTAGAAGTCAACGCCTCTACTCACCGGGCCACGAGCCCGTTGCCTTGTCGGTTTTTCGATCGGGAATATACAATGTTAAGGGGGCGCTCACCGATCGTTCATACGGAACTCACTCGTTCCGTTGTGCCTTATGGACTCTCTCTCGAGCCCAACCAGCAGCCGCACAGCGGCGCATGATATATAGGCAGAATAGTATTGCCGACAAAGGCAAGGTTTAAATAGGTCTTTCTTACTCACTACTGATAGGTCCATTGTTCTCTCTCCCTATTGGCCCTCCTTTCCTGCCCAAGTGATGTCTGACGGCCTCGTATGGCGCCGGTAGGTCGATCCTACGGTTGATCGAGTTGGCGTTGGATTGCCAGGCTTCGATTATCTCCCTCGCCATTTTGCTTTCAGCCCGGCCGACGTTCAAAAACAAATTGAACTCAATCTTCCCCCAAATTCAATTCACAATGGAGGAAGAAAAGGACGGAGAAATCCCCTTTCTGGATGTCCAGGTGTCGAGACAGGAAGACGGGGCCCTCCAGACTGGTGTCTTTCGAAAGGCAACCGATACGGCGAAAATCCTCCATTACAGCAGTAACCAGCCCTTGTCACATAAACGCAGCTGCGTGCGGACGCTCTTCCTACGCATCAACACACACTGCAGCACAGAGGCTGAAAAGCTGCGAGAGCGTAAATCCCTATGGCGTCTCTTTCTCTCCAATGGGTACCCACGTAGCTTCATAAACAAATGCCTGTATCAAAGGCACACGAAGACCGCCGGTGAACAAAAACAAAAACCTGAAATCTTCCGTGCTTTGCCCTACGTGAGTGACGTTTCCGAAGCCACTGAACGCATGCTCAGACCACTCAACGTCGGCCTTGGACACCGGCCGGAGGTCACTATCCGCCGCTTGCTCATGCAGCCTAAGGGGCGGCTACCACCTGAGGACACGTCAGGAATTGTTTACCGCGTCAACTGTCTAGACTGCCCGGCCAACTATTGTGGCATGACCGACAAACGATTAAGGTCGCGCATGCATGAGCATTCTCTAGCTGTAAAGCGAAAAGATGTGCGATCACATGTTGCTATGCATAGCCTGGAAAATAACCATCATTTCGGCTTCGACAAGGCAGAAGTAATCGGCCGGGCTGAAAGCAAAATGGCGAGGGAGATAATCGAAGCCTGGCAATCCAACGCCAACTCGATCAACCGTAGGATCGACCTACCGGCGCCATACGAGGCCGTCAGACATCACTTGGGCAGGAAAGGAGGGCCAATAGGGAGAGAGAACAATGGACCTATCAGTAGTGAGTAAGAAAGACCTATTTAAACCTTGTATTCCCACTTTTAATCTATCTCCGATGATGCGCTCAAGTATGAGTGTGAAACGTCAGATGAATAAATCATCCTCCCCAGAGATCTCTTTACCTTCTTCCATATATATATATACGTAAAAATGTAATGGTATGGGGCGCTCACCGATCGCCATTCCAGTCTCCATTGTCTTTGTTGGTAATGCAATTCTGCATATATACATGTATATATCACGAATATCGGATGTGGTGTGCATTCCGAGGTGATATAATGATTAAGAGAAGGCTCTTCGGAATAATCGAGCTGCACTCGTAAATATTCAAGTCAGTGACACAGACCCGTCGTCAGACCCGTCGTCGGGACCGGTGTTTTCCGATAAGCTACAAACACAGAGAAATTACTCCACTACAACAGCAACCATCCGCTGTCGCATAAACGCAGTTGCGTCCGGACACTTTTCCGCCGCATCAACACGCACTGCAGAACAGAGGCCGAGAAGCTACAAGAGCGTGCGTCCCTGTGGCACCTCTTCCTTGTCAATGGATACCCACGTAGCTTCGTAAACAAATGTCTGTTCCAAAGACACACAAAGACTGACGGTGAGGCGAACCAAAAACCTGAGGTACTCCGTGTCTTGCCCTACATGAGGAACGTCTCTGAGGCCACTGAGCGTATGCTTAGACCACTTAACGTGGGCGTTGGACACCGACCGGAAGCCACCATCCGCCGATTAGTCATGCAGCCAAAGGGTAGGCTGCCCCCTGAGGACATGTCCGGTGTCATTTACCGCGTCAACTGCCTAGACTGTCAGGGCCAACTATTGCGGCATGACAAACAAACGACTTAAAACGCGCATACATGAGCACACCTTAGCCGTCAAGCGGAAAGATGCGCGCTCACACGTCACCATGCACAGTCTGGAAAATGACCACCGGTTTGACTTTGACGGCGCCCAAGTGCTCGGCCGAGCGGAAAACAGACTGGCTCGAGAAATAATCGAGGCCTGGAAAACAGACACCAACTCCATCAACCGCTGCGTCGAACTACCGGCACCATACGAGGCCGCCAAACACCACCTACGCACCAGGGGAGGCCCAATGAGGATAGAAGTTGACGGCCCTATCAGGCGAGAACGAGAGGGACCTATTTAAACCGTGTAATTTTCTAATATTTCCTATCTCCGATGATGCGCTCGAGTATGAGTGTGAAACGTCAGATGAATAAATCATCATCCCCAGAGCTCGCCTTACCATCTTCTTCAATTTCAACACCTGGGGTCAGCATTTTCGCAAACATCCATATGTATATATTTATATATATATATATTGGAAAACAGGCATCCCAAGAAATATAATTAGAAGGTGAAGTTCTTTGGGAAACGGCAAAATTTTTTTGTTAATTTTCGAGACTGGTTCCCCAGCTCGTCTTCAGACAACGGGTGTGCAAAAACAATTAACTTTTAGACTGAGTCTAGCAAAAGGAGTCCATGACTGGATAAGGTTGTCGTCTCGGTATTGGCTGATTCAGTTTGAATCTGTCCTTAACAATTTTGTATGTGACATCTAAATCGATGTGCCGGTTGATGCGTGCCTCATCTGAGTGCATTGCTTCCAGGAATTCGCGGCCTTTTCTTGTTTGGCCGGCGCCAACAATGCGAGTGTTCTCCCATGCGAATTTATGCCCAGTGTCTAGTGTGTGCATGGCCACCTGGGAGAGATGGTCGCGTCTCTTCACCGCTAACTGATGCTCATGTATACGGGTTGAGACAGATTTCCCATTTTGGCCACAATAAACGGCATCACAACTAGAACACGGGATTTTGTAGACGACACCTTTTCTTTCGAAGTAGCCGACCCTGTCCTTAGGGTGCACAAGCTGTGTGCGTAAGGTAGTTGCCGGCTGGTTTGCTACGTGTATCTGGTACTTTTTCAATTGTCTTTCGACAAGTTCAGATACATTTTTGACTTATGGGAGAGTTCGCCATGTGGTTTGTTTTGGTGCCTGATTGGCCGTAGTGCTGGAAATACCTTTTCCCTTGAGTTGCTGGTGCCTCATGCATTGACGTATGAAGTCATGCGGGTACCCATTTTGGGAGAACAGTTTGTAGAGGTATTTCATTTCTGCTCGATAACTTGTTTCGTCAGAGCAGTGCGTTTTGGCTCGATTCAGAAGGCTGTAGACTGTGCTCCGTTTGTGAGAGACAGGGTGGTTACTCTAAAAGTGTAGGATGACCTCTGAATACGCCTCTTTGCGATAAACTGATGTCTGGAGTGATCCATCGGTTTTTCGACGTACAAGGACATCCAGGAATGGGAGTTGTCCATCGACCTCTGTTTCCAAAGTAGATGTAATTCCTGGAAATATGGAGTTAATATTTGTACGGAGCAGATTCGGCTGATCTTTCTTGACGATGACAAAAGTGTCATCTACGTATCGTAGCCAAAGTTTCGGATTGACTGTGGGAAGGGCTATGCTCTCTAATTTCTGCAATAATGCTTCTGCCAGGAAACCGGATATTGGTGAACCCATGGGAGCACCTTTTAATTGCCGGTAGCATTGATTTGAGAAGGAAAAATTTGTCTCCAGACAGAGATCAAGGAGTTGAAGTAAAGCCTCTGGAGGCACCTCAGAAGTATATGTTTGAAGGAGTTCTTCGGTGCAGCTTTTCGCTAAATCTAGTGGAATCGAAGTGAAGAGCGAGACCACATCGAATGACACCATAATCTCGTCACATGTGATGTTGACACCGCTTAATTTGTCTAGAAACTCTTTTGAATCCTGAATGGAGTTCTCGGAGTTCTTCGTTAGTGGATGTAGTTGGCGAAATAGCCATTTCGAGATCTTATAGTTGGGTGCACCGATTAGGGAGACTATCGGTCGCAGCGGAATATCAGTTTTATGAATTTTGAGAAGACCATATATCTTGGCAATTGTTGGTTCATCTTGTTTTAAAGACTTGGCAAGAACTCCTGTGATTAATTTCCTACCCGAAAGGCGTTTGAGTGTTTCTTCAATATGTGAGTTTTGCGATTTGGTGGGGTCGGCAGCTAGAGGTTCGTATGTTGAATCATCTTTTAAGAGTGACATGATACACAGGCAGAATGGCATTACTGACAAAGACAAGGGAGACTGGAATGGCCATTTCTGGCTTATTAGCCGTCGTCAGCCAGCCATACCCAAGCCCGAAGTGGGGAGCACCCGAGCCTCGAACTCGTGACCTGTTGGTTTTAGAAGTCCACGCCTCTTAACCAACAGGTCGCGAGTTCGAGGCTCGGGTGCTCCCCACTTCGGGCTTGGGTATGGCTGGCTGACGACGGCTAATAAGCCAGAAATGGCCATTCCAGTCTCCCTTGTCTTTGTCGGTAATGCCATTCTGCCTATGTATCATGTCACTCTTAAAAGATGATTCAACATACGAACCTCTAGCTGCCGACCCCACCAAATCGCAAAACTCACATATTGAAAAAACACTCAAACGCCTTTCGGGTAGGAAATTAATCACAGGAGTTCTTGCCAAGTCTTTAAAACAAGATGAACCAACAATTGCCAAGATATATGGTCTTCTCAAAATTCATAAAACTGATATTCCGCTGCGACCGATAGTCTCCCTAATCGGTGCACCCAACTATAAGATCTCGAAATGGCTATTTCGCCAACTACATCCACTGCGCCGCTGTGCGGTGGCTAGTTGGGCTCGAGAGAGAGTCCTTAAGGCACAACAGAACGAGTGAGTTCTGTATGAACGATCGGTGAGCGCCCCCTAACATTATATATATAAATATAAATAACTGAAGTATTATGCATTCCGAGATATATATGCATATATATTCATATACATATGACAGATGGGCGCTCACCGATCAGGTTACGGACCATGCTCGTTCTGCTGTGCCTTGCGGATCATACTACAACTTTCGCAGGCAGTCGCACAGCCACTAGTGGTAGATACAGATGAAATGGAGCCGACAAAGACAAGGGAGAAAGGAATGGCCATTTCTGGTTTATTAGCCGTCATCAGCCGTCATCATCCAGCGGAACGAGCATGTTCCGTAACCTGATCGGTGAGCTCCCATCTGTCATCATCGATATTGCCGATCACAACCGACAAGACAAGGGGCCCGTGGCGCAATGGTAGAGCGTTGAACTCCATGACCAAAGGTCCCGGGTTCGAATCTAAAGTGATTCGCACTTGGGGTTGGGTATGACTGGCTGATGACGGCTAATAAGCCAGAAATGGCCATTCCGGTCTTCCTTGTCTTTGTCGGCTCCATCTGACATATATATATATATAGGCAGAATGCTACTTCCAACAAAGACAAGGGAGACTGGAATGGCCATTTCTGGCTTAATAGCCGTCGTCAGCCAGCCATCCCCAAGCCCGAAGTGTGGAACACCCGAGCCTCGAACTCACGACCTGTTGGTTTAGAAGTCAACGCCTCTACTAACCGGGCCACGAGCCCGTTGCCCTGTCGGTTTTCGATGGGGAATATACAATGTTAGGGTGCGCTCACCGATCGTTCATACGGGACTCACTCGTTCCGTTGTGCCTTAAGGGCTCTCTCTCGAGCGCAACCAGCAGCCGCGCAGCGGCGCATGATATATAGGCAAAATTATAGTACCGACAAAGACATGGGAGACTGGAATGGCCATTTCTGTCTTATTAGCCGTGGTCAGCCAGTCATACCCAAGCCCGAAGTGTGGAACCCTCGAGTCTCGAACTCGCGACCTGTTAGCCAGATGTCCGCGCCCCCAACCACTGGGCCACGAACCCTTGCCCTGTCGGTTTTCGATCGGGAATATAAAATAGTTGGGGTCGCTCACCGCTCGAAAACCGACAGGGCAACGGGCTCGTGGCCCAGTGGTTGGAGGCGGGGACTTCTACCTTACAGGTCGCGAGTACGAGACTCGGGTTTTCCACACTTCGGGCTTGGGCATGACTGGCTGACGACGGCTAATAAGCCAGAAATGGCCATTCTATTCTCCCTAGTCTATGACGGTAATGCCATTCTCGCTCTCTCTCTCTCTCTCTCTCTATATATATATATATATATATAAATATAGAGAGAGAGAGAGATCGCCTCATCCTCCTCTTCCATATATATATATATATATATATATATATATATATATATCATGCGCCGCTGTGCGGCTGTTGATTGGGCTCAAGAGCGAGCCCTTAAGGCACAACGACTCGCGCCTGATAGGGCCATCAATTTTTATTCTCATTAACCCTCCCCTGGTACGTAGTTGGTGTTTTGCTTCCTCTTATGTTGCCGGTAGGTCGACGCTACTGTTGATGGATTTGGCGTCTCTTTGCCATGCCTCGATTATTTCTCGCGCGTGTCTGTTTTCCGCTCGGCCGAGCACTTGGGCGCCGTCAAAGTCAAACCGATGGTCATTTTCTAGACTGGCGGCATTAGAAGGGACACTCGCAAAGACGGATACCACAGAAGACTCCAAGAACTCCATTCGCCAGCGAGTCTCATCCCTCATCATATCCCACAAGCCACGTTGAACCATCTCCTCGGCCGAATTAAAGGCCATTAGGGAATTAAAAATGGACGAAGAAATAGTCATTGTTCCAGCGGACAAAGGACGTGCAACCGTCATCTTGGACAGATCAGAGTACGTCGCAAAAGCCCAGGCACTACTAAACGACAAGCAGTCATACAGAGTCGTCGGCTCTGACCCCATAAAAACACACTGATTGGCAAAATCAACAAGGGTTTTAATCAGCTGAGGAGCCAGAACGCGATATCTGAAAACGATTGGAGACAAAGGAGACCGCAAGATGCCGCTCCAGCGCGTTTCTACAGTTTGCCAAAAATCCACAAGCCAAATGTCCCCCTACGATTCATCGAAGCGCTGAAAGGCACACCTACCTACGGACTGGCTAAATGGCTTGTCAAGCACTTAAATACGCTTACGGAGGGCTCTGAACACACAGCCCTCTTGCAGCGTGTTCAAACACACTGCAGCGACGAAAATGGGAGGAAGGAGGAGATTAAGTTCTTGCACACCCTATTGAAATCCAACGGGTATCCGAAGTCCTTTATACGCAAGTGCCTTAAGATGCCCCACCCTGAGCGGTCGGACGGAGAAAACCCGAAATTTTGGCTCGCAATCCCTTATGTGAAAAACGTGTCAGAGGTGACGGCAAGAATCCTGAAGCCTTTCGGGATCGGAGTGGCTCACAAGGAAGAGTCAACAATCAGACAGAAAATAATGAGGCCCAAAGATCCGCTACCTGTGACAGAACAATCAGCGATGGTCTACAGCATACCATGCCAAAATTGTGGTGCAAGGCATGTTGGTGAAACGGGCAAACGTCTTGGCACAAGATTGCATGAGCACTAGCTTGCAATCAACCGCAAAGAAAAGCTGTCTATGGTTTATGGCCACATCAAACAGCAGAACCTCAATTTCGCCCTTGAAAAGGCAAGCGTAATCGGCCGAGCCAATGATAAGATGGCCAGACTGATGCTCGAAAGTTGGTCCTCGACTCGCACACTCAACAGAGACATAGATCTGCATCCCGCCTATCAGGCGCTACCCACAAGACTCGAGTCAGTGCGGACAAGGCCATCAGGACAGTCGAGCAAAGTGACGCGTGGCCGACATCCCATGTCATCAGAAAGTGGGAGACAAGCCGGCCCTGGGTCATGTGACCAGCATGAGACGCCACCTCACCGCGACGCCCACGAGGCTGATATCAACTCACATGAGCCGCAACAAGTGATCAGTCCGTTGAGTGACGGGGGGGGGGAGGCCGACATGTATGCTGACTCCAACAATTACGACGACCGCAAAGGGGTCATTAGTGGCAGGAGCCCATCGGCGGTCAATCGTGGAGAGGTCAACGCTAATCAGCGGCGAACGGGCAGGTCAGAGTTCGTGCCTCGCACACGGATATAATACCAGGCAGGCATCAAGGCTGACGCACTCAAGACCAGCAGAAACTGTCAACACATTACTCTGCTGATGGAAACGAGAGGGTTTCCGAAACATCAGTACAAATATAACTCGGTCCATGAATGCGCCCTATCTTCTTCATCGTCTTCTTCGGGGGATGATGAACGCGATACATATATATATTTCGAAGAAGAATGAGTCCTTTGGGAAAATGGACAAACTTTATTTCGTAAATTTTCGAGCCTGCTTCCCCAGCTCGTCTTCAGACGTGTAGTAAGTGTGAAGAAACAGTCAAAATCTAAACAATGCCGAAAAAAATCGATATTGCTCTGTCATGCAATCTGACAGATTTGGGCAATATCTTCATTTTTCGGCATTTGTGTAAAAACGACAACTGTTCTCGCGTTAAAATTTCGCGAATTGCACACTTCTCTCACCGTCTAGCTCGTAGCAAAACTTCGCGATCGTAATTCATACGTATGTACTTGAAGATGGGCATCCCAAGAACTCTGTTTTCCTTGACATCCAGTTCACAATGGGGGCGGAAGCCAACAATCAACTGCCGTTCCTGGACGTTCTCGTCCATCGAAAACCCAATGGGCACCTTGAAACGAAGGTATATAGGAAGGCCACTATTAGCGCCAAATCCTGAGCTTCCACAGTAAGCACCCGTTAGGCCACAGACGCAATTGTGTGCGAACACTCTACAGAAGGGCAGAAACACACTTCAGCGACCTGGACGATAGAAGGTCAGAACTACGCTACCTCCAGCGCCTCTTCATGGCCAACGGGTATCCTCGCAACTTCATCGAACGCGGCAGACAGGCCGGACCGAGTCGACGTTTGGTGACAGAACGACCAACAATATGGCGGGCGCTTCCATACATCGACGGCGTTTCTGAGGCCGTCTCGCGTCTCTTAAGACTGCTGGGGATCGGCATCGTCCACCGACCGGAGTCAACAATTCGACATCTGGTCATGAGACCCAAGGCCCCTCTGCCATTAGGTGAAACCACGGACGTCATCTACCGGATCCGGTGTAACTCCTGTGAAGCCAACTACATTGGGGAGACGGGCAAACGACTACAGACCCGTGTTGAAGAACACATGAGGCCCAAGGAAGACCCTATTTTCAGATAGACAGATGAAAAGCATGTTCTAGTAAAAAAAATAAATAACAAATAATTTTATTGGAAGACCCCTAGGGTACCATCAATGCAAGTACATTTTAAAGCAAGTAGACAGGTTGTGCACATTATTCGGCTCGCGGTTGTAAAATAAACAGTCACATATAAACACGGTCAGCGAGCATTGGGAAAACTCCTTATGCATAAAACCAGATGAGTATGAATTGCTAATATTAAAAGAGAAGAACTGCCGCATATGAAGGGGAAAATATGCGGCTCGAACGTGACTGACCTTCATATGGTATTTTATGAGGGATTCAAAAAGTAAATTGTCAAAGCTGAGATTCATCAACCGAATGAGTTTATCCGCCTCTAAGTGGTAAGACAGAGGAACCTAGACGCGATCGGACACAGTTTGCCTAGAGTCCAGTCGAGAATGGGACATCAAACGCTAGGACGGTCATCAAAGCAATGAGGGAAGAATGCGACCCTGAGGTATTTCTGCTGATCCACCAAACTACAAGCAAATAACAAAAGCAGAGAATTCACACAGTAATCGTCAACGGACCATTTGGGTTTGAAATAAGGAGTTGTCATCGAGATCCGCGAAAACCTAAAATTGGAGGTGAGGGTTCGAAGTCGCCGGGACCAGAGTAGAATTTTGATGAGTTTCGGTGATCAGCGAAAACGAGGCGGCTTAGAGCGTGCACGTCAACCTAACCACACCATTTCTTTGAGAGCATTTGTCAGGAAGGATGTCTAATTCTGGGAGGGGTACGATGCATGAACTGAAAAACCGAAAAGACCGAAATTTGTGATGAGGGATCCTAGGAAACGAAATTACAAACAAAAGGAGGGAATGTGAGCGGATACAGAAGTTTAATGGAGGCGTCCTAGATTTCCGGTGGTCCTTTCTCACTGTCATAGAGGAAGTTGTCAGGAAAGAATGTAGAAACTAAAAGTTTGATCGAGTCAGTTTTCAGATAAACGCGCAACCTTCTCTTAAATATGTGTAGATTATTTGATGACCTTATATTTATTGGAGGGCTAATACAGAAGAAAGTATAACTGGAAACGCAGAAAGAGAGCGCTTGGGGTGGAGTAAGTGGAAGTAGGTATAATAAAGGAAGAATTGCGAAGATTGTATGGCGGATTACTGAGGTAAGGGCTGAAATTCGAGGAAGATTTGAATTATTAATAATGCGAAAGAAAAGGCAGGAGCCTGCTTCTAGTCTTCGACCACATACAAATCTAAGGTTAGTTATATGGTATTTATCTGAGAAGGAAATATTTGGGTGTCCCCTACCTAACGGTCTTCTAGTAAAATGTTTCTGAACATTGTAAATTTTGGAACGACTAGCCCCGTTCATCAAACCAACAGTCGGCAATGATGCTCAAGAACGGGAAGTACAAACATTCGATAAGTTCTTGAATATATTTCAGGAAAATATACATTCTAAGAAATAAAGCCACAAACCTGAAAAGATTTGGTCGTAATTCTGTTAGAGTGTGGCGAGAGATCAAGAACAATGACGTGGCTTAAACCTAAATACTAGATGATCGTTCATTCAATCATAGGTGTAACAAAAAGGACAATGGATGGGGTAGAAATTCAGATCAAACACACACAGATGGAAAGAATTTCATGAGGCACGTTGAGTTCCTCTCTAAAAGAGCACACAAAAGAGCATGTTTTTGTAAGCCGCGATGAAAGACAGTTATTGGCTGTATCTACAATCCCCAAAATTTTCCAGTCAGTGATGATCCACAACTCTGTGGAATCTTTTAACTAATTTCGGAAGCCACTTTTGATGTTAAAATAATCAATGGGGATTCTAAATTTCCTGAAATAGACTGGGTTTCCAACAGCTGTCCAACCTGATCCGAGCCCTTCCAAGATAATGTCGGTTTTTCTAACTGATTCCAACTGGTGGGCTCCCCGACAACAAATGATCACATTTTAGATCCAGTCTTTACCAATGACAGTGTCCCTCTTTTTGTTGCTTTCAAAAAGGACCTCTTTGACAGTGACCACGCATTAATAAATAATAATAATTATAATAATAATAATAATTTTATTTAATGCCAATTTACAGGCGTTGTTAGGGAAGCGTTAAATAAAAATCCGGCCAGCAGTGAAAAAAAACTCCTGTGGAAAAGGAATGAAAATATAGTTGATGGTGGTTTTATGGATTGGGGGTTAAGGAGAAAAAAACTGCTGGCGACAAGCATTCGACCGTCAAGAAAGGTGGGGTTGCACGGTATTGGATATCAGTCGCCAATTTCTTTCATGAAGTTAGGGTTATTCCAACCGGAAGCGACGAAGAACAGCTGTCGCTGTTGGCCAAAGAAATTGTAACTGGGGAGACCGGCTATAGTGATCAGAGACCACAAACGCCATCGCTAAGGTACAGTCGTTCAGTAGATTCCGCACCTTCTAATATGTGGGAGCTTTTCTGTGTGCAAAAATCGAGTAATAGATCTCTTAAATAAAGAAAAATTTTGCAGATTTTTTACAATCCTGGGTAGTCTATTCAAAATAGCAATAGCATTTACAGAAAAATCCGACGATATTTTACAGCACGTGCCAGAGGCAGAAATAAAAAGACCTCACGGGGTCTGTTACGTCGTGGGTGGACATGATGTCTTAAAGAGGTGAGTGAGTTAAATGTGTGTTTAAATAGCAAAAATAGTCACGTTTGTAATCTACGGAACAATAAAGGATCAAGGCCTGTAAACCGGCAACGTTCTTGGACAAATGTTGGTGTTCCTGGGTTAAAACTCTCTTGGTAAAAAATTGTTGAACGGATTCCATTTCTTCCGTTCAGCAGCACGAATGAGGCTAAATAGAAACGAACAGTATCCCAGGTCAGGTCTAACGTGCATGTTATAAAGGCACATTCTAATGTCCCTAGTTTTAAATTTTCGGGGGATAAACCCGGTCGTTCTAAATGCTTTAGAGGCTATCAAGTTACAGTGCTTGGAGAGACTGAGACTCTTGGAGTATGATACGCCCAGATCCTTAATAACCCTAGGCACATTTATGGCGTGACCACCAATACTTAGCTGAGGTTGGCGGTCGTCGCAACTACCATGACTGAACAATGATGCCAAGAAAGAGAAAGGCGCCATGTGCGGCACCACTGGGCGAAAACCTCTAGGTCGATCTTTAGGAGCTCAAGCCCTATGCCACGTTTAAGATCATTGCCATACATGAAAGGCTTACCATTCTGAAATAAGTGGGGTACATCATTTGCGAAAAGGCAAAATAAAAGCGGGCCGAGTGCACTACCTTGAACTACTCCACTCCTCACACGTATGGGGTTGGAGATAGTACTGAAAATCTTAACGCGTTGAGTACGAGTGCCCAGGTTTGAGGATAAAAAATTTAAAATTTTAACACCCATTCCTAAAGATGACAGTTTCAAGAGAAGAAGAGCATGTTCAACACGGTCAAAAGCCTTAGTGAAATCGAAATATACTGTGTAAAGTGCAAAACCATGGTCCCTAGATTGGTGAACATAGTCAAAGAAAGAGAGTTGACAGGTGCTATAAGATCGAGCTTTGAGTAATTCCTGCTGAGCAGCACTCAGTACATTATTCCCCGTTAGGTGACAAATTATCTTATCTTTGATCAATGTCTCCAAGATCTTCGAAACTGCAGGGAGGGTGTTTATTGGCCGAAAGTCATCAAAGGACGTAGATTTGCCGTGCTTAGGGATGGGCAAAATGTGTGATTCCTTCCACAAGGTAGGATAAGTTTCACTTTCAAGAGCAAGATTAAATATCTTGCATAGAAAGGATGGCAAAATTGTATTTGCGTCGGCTTTTAAAATGCTTACTGGGACACCATCAGGACCGGGACTATAAGATTTCCGAAAACGCCGAATCGCGACAGTTACATCCCACAGAGCGAAAGTTATAGTTTCGAGAACTGCTCCGGTCAATGTCTGGAAGGTCGGAAACGGAGTAGTCGAGTCTTCAATAAACGTTTTGGACAGGAAATCATTGAAGCTGTCAGCGATTTTACTCGGCATCAACTATGGGATTTTGGAGAGCGTCTCGGAGGATGGGATGCTGCGTCTTTCGGTGAGTTCGTATTTTTCTGGAGAAAAGTTTCAAGACATTTAAAGAATGGTTTTCACTAAACTGGATCTCTTCGGCTAGCTGTTTTTTTCATCAGACAATCGCTTAACCCCTCAGAAATATCACAAATCAAGGGCAGGACAGAAACGTCGTTCTGAAGATGTAATCGACGATAAAGTCTGCGCAATCTGCGACGAAAGGGCAAGGGTAGGAAAACCTCATCCCCAACATTAATAATTTCCTTTCGGGGGACACAACGAAAAATAAGCGGATCCAAAATTCTGTACAGTTTCGCAGTGCAAAAAACACTTACATCCGAACATAGGAAGAAATCAGTCCAGTCGTAGTAATTAAGGTGTGTCAATAATTCGGTCGAACGAGTTGATCGGAAATCGCGGATAAGGTTACACTTTGGGGACAAGGTTTTGTCAGCCTCGAATTCCAACGTTGAAACAACTATGTCATGGTCTGAGCCCCGAATGCGCCTACGGATAACAAAGACGAAGGTATGTAGCCTCTAAAAAACATCAGGTCGAGTGTGCTTGATCTTTTGGTGGGAAAATCGATAACCTGAGTCCACATCCCAACATCCACAGCCTCAATAAATTCATCGAAGACCGAACGTGTTCGTGACAAAAAATTAATTTATAAACATCGCAAATCATACCCATGGGCTTTCAGTTTATTTTATTTCAATTTATTTGATAAGCATAATATGCAAAGCCTTTGAAAACTCGCTAGAAATAACTGTGCACGGACAATGAAAATATTCGCTATCAAAACAGTACTTGATTCATTTGAGTAGCATTGTCTCAGTAAAAATATTTGCGGGGTTGCAGGGTATTTAGCTTAGATTCATACTGTCGAAGGGAAGCAAGAAACAAAAATACACATCTAAGCGTTTCTTGAAGAGTTGAATAGACGTAG